GCAACAGCAGGCGGTTGCCACTACTCAATTCAATGCAGATAGCACACTGCAAGTCCATCAGCAGCAGCCTCAACTCGGCAGTGGCAACAACAGCATTTTACAGCAGCCAACGCAACCGCAACAGCAACAGCAACAGCAGCAGCAGCAACAACAACACCCGCATATACAACTCCTCACAACCAGCGGCAATGCATCCGCCAGTACTACACATCAAGTGAGTCTGGGAAATGGATCACTGGTGCTGCTGCAACAACAGCCTCAGCAGCAACAACAACAACAACAACAGCAACAGCAGCAGCAGCAGTTAAATACCACAATGCAACACTCAGGCATCACTATACATCCAGCTAATATACAACACCAAAAGGCGACGGCAGGCCAGCTGAACACGGCAATAGGTGCCAACTCCGCATTACGCGCCCAGCTCAACTCCAACGTGCCAATCCTCGTAAGTATATAAGGAATAGAGATTGGACAACATTGCTTCAGCCAGTAGTGGATTTGAAAAGAGCTTTGCGATTCGCAACATGAATACTTTTGCAGATTATCAGCCATAGTAAATACAAGTGCTAATCTCCGAACTATCATTCATTGAAGAACATTCATCATTTAATTTCCTAAAACATTTATAGTTTAAGTCCAATAATTAACTAATTATTTTCTGTATTTTAGCAATCGCAGCTAAAAGGGTCGTCGATTGTTACAACACATCAACTGCTACAGAAACAACAACAACAGCAGCAGCAACAGCAACAACAAATAACTGCCACAAACAACAATACAATCAACAACAACAGTAGCAACAATAATAACAGCACGGCTATGCATCCGAATCCTGCGATAAATGCCATAGTCACTAGCATCATGAACTCTGCTAACCAATACCAGCAACAGCAACAGCAACAGCATCAACAACAAGAGCAGCAGCAGCACTGTGAGTCATTTAGTTGCAATACAACACGTTATTACACATGATTATATATATATGTATATTTTGGTCAATTTGTAACCATTAGCGAGCGGCACGCCCACCTCCAACGCCAACTCGACGTCTATCATCAACATTAGCAGCAACAGCAGTGGCAGTCCTGCAACAACTTTAAAGAACTCGGGCAATGCCTCTATACTAAATTTGCTGAATAGCGCCCCAGCGGCCATGACCAGCACGCCAGTCGCTAGTGGCACGTTCACTACGTCGTCGACGGGTCAGCAGCAAACGTTGACGTTGGTGCAGCATCAGCAGCAGCAGCAACAACAGCAGCAGCAGCAGCAACAACAATCGGTTCCCGCCAATGTGGATGCGACAACAGCAACCTATGTGCAGACGACGCGCGGAACGCCGACACTGGTAAATGCTCAACGCAAGCAGCCGTCGAGCGAGGTTTTGCAGAGTCTTCTGAATTCGAACCGTAAAATTAACATAGTTGGCGCAAGTAGTGGAACAACGTTTCGTACTAACTCAGCTGGTAATCTTATAGCCGTCAATCTGAACCAGGCTCAAGGGCAAGGTGCGCAGCAGGCTGCCGATGGCAGTCAGTCGGTGCGTGTGTCCATGTCTGCACTTGCGTCGCAACTGGCATCGCCTCCGGCAGTGATGACGAATCCTCCCACTGGGTATGGCGCTTACACTGTCAGCACAGGAGGCGTGTGTGGTAGCCTCAAAATACTCAATACYGGCCAACAGCAGCAGCAGCGCATTCTGAGCTCGTTGCGAAGGGATAGCACCACTGCGCCACCAAATGCGATTGTGGTAGGCATGGCAGCACCCTCACCTGGCAGCGACTCCAATGCCTCAAATGCGAGTGGCTTTGCCGTGCCCACGAACTTATCGACTGCATCAAGTGGAGGCAGCGGTGCTCTGAATGCATTACTCACAAATGCTGCCACGCCCTCGCCGTCTGGCTCGGATCATTCGCAGTCGTCGCAAACGCATCCGAATCAGGTCCTGCTTGAAAGACTCAGCAACGTGACATCAAATGTGTCAGCCGTGTCAGCGGTGGCCATGCCGCACATGTCGCCACAGCAACCATCACCGGCACAGTCGACCCAACAACAGCAGCAATTCATCACCAAGACACTTGTGCACTCGCCCGCCACATCATCCATACACTCGCCAATGTCGAGTCCACATCCCCAGCCGTCGGCGTCTCCCCAGCAGCAACAGCAGACGACGGCGACTTTGAATCTGCAGGGCATCAATCTGTCCCAGCTGCAGGGTGCCATGGCGAACTTTGCAGGTCTTCAGAATGTTCAGGTCCAGATTCCAGGCTTTACGCAGCCCATTTCACTGCAGTTTTCCGGCAACAGTCTGCAGACACCTGTGCAGGTGCAACAGCAGCAGTCGCAACAGCAAAGCACGACATGTGGAGGCACAACGAGTGGATCATTGGCGCCTAACCAGACTCAACAGCGCAGTGTGTTGGTCTCGGTGCCTGTGTCGACGCAGCAGCAATTGTCGCACTCGATTACGTTGCAGACGACGCAATCTTCGTCTCAACAGCCGCAGCATGCCCCGCCTACAGGAACCATCGTCAGCCTGCCCTCATCGGTGGGTGGCACCCAAACGGTAGTCATCACAAACAATGCAGCTAGCAGTGGAGGAGCGAGTGGAGGCGGCAATGGAAGTGGAACAGGAGCTACTACTGCTATGCTCACGCTTCCCATTGGTAAGTGGTGCCACTGGCAGCAGCACATGAGAATTGCTTTAGGAGCTCTCCCTAATTAGATGATGATTTGCGGAACAGCTTAATTGTCTACGTGTTATAATTGTAATTGATCCTCGAACATTATTCAATAAGTTTTCTTTTGATATATAATTGATATATTTATTTATTGAACGAACATGCTTAATTTTGTTCTTTTCTGTTTCTATTCCTGTTTCTACTTTCTATTTTCGTTTCGTTTCGTTTATTTTCGTTTCGTTTCTTGTTCACACATAAACCTCTTAACAACCCGATCCGATACTCATGCAACTAAACTGTTTATGTGTTTTGTGTTTAACCACTGCCATCAGTTTAACACTTGCACCAGCTAACTCTGGCCCTTTCCCTGGCCCTGGCCTCTGGGGGCGGTTAGTTATCGTCTCTGACCAACAGATTCATTGTAACCTAAACAACAACAACAAAATATCCCCGCACGCCCGTTCTGCTTTCTGCTTACAGCTCAACTAGTCGGTGCCGGAGTACAGAAACTAAATCCTCAAACAATACGTACCTCAAGTGGTGGTGGTGTAGGTGTTGTAGCSACAGCAGCAACTGGAGCTATACAACCGAGAGCGCGCAACGTCCAGGTCGTGGGCACCAAGCAACTAGCTAGCAGTCGACAGCTGCTCACCGCACAGCGTCAGATTGGTAGCTCGACGCTAAAGATTGCAACAACGGCTGTCAACAGTAAGTCGTCTGTAAAGCAATTGTTCAAGTAAATGAATACCCCAACCCGAATTCTTTTGCTTTGTAGGCAATGCCGTTACGAATAGCACCAACATAGGTGCCGGACCGATTGTAATGTCTGCGCAGAAAATGCAATTGAAGACTGTGAAAACGCCGACGCAGCAAACACATCAGCAGCAGCATCGAATACTCAACCAGAGCACTGTCACCGGAACTTCCCAGACTCTGCCTAGTCCCAGTCAAGTGCAACATCAACAGCTACAGCACATACAAATTACTGGTCGGTCGGCGCCCACAAATGCCAGCGTAATGAGTCAGCGCACCCTAACAGCTCTGGCAGCGGCCAAGCAGCAGCAGCAACAGGCAGCCGTCAATCGACGGCGGTCCACCACCGATGCCACCAAGTAGACGCCAAACTTGGTACTGGAGAAAGCAATTAATGCGGGCGTACCATTTATTTCTATTCTGAATTCAGGAGAGGAGACAAGGAATAAGGCTACGCGTTATATATTTGCATGATATTATAGTTTATCTCTAAATCTTCTATACCACTACATTGTATGCATTGTATACCCATATATCGGTATACATTTTTGTGTGTATAACTGTAAGTGTGTAAGCTGCGCACGCCACACGAGATCAAATCAAACCAACAGTCTGGGAGTGGACTGGGATTGCAACTGTGCATAAAGGTGATGCTCGTAATCAAGGGGCTGGCGATGGTAACTGCGTTTCGTTTGTGTGTGCTCTTTGCAGAAATTTCAGCTTAACCACAAAACGAATGAAGTGTATAGCTCATACGGATATACATATATGTATGTATCTATACATATATAATTGTACATATTAATTGTTTCATATTCAATACGTGCTCCAAAAGCCATTTCAACAATGTCTATTAACTTGGCTCTCCAACTCCAATTTGTTACACTCTAAGACTAACTACATAAGCGTCGTGGTAACTTTAGGCATAAGCAGTAATGCGAGAACGGCTCCTCCCCACGAAATGCAAATGCAAATGAAAACAAAACAAAAGCAATAGTAAGAAAAACACAATATAAAATGTAAAATTGATTGTAAACACACAGAATAATATACGGCTAACTATTACGATTTGAATTAGTTACGAAAAAAAAGAAGATATGAACAGCTGTAACGGTTCATATAAAATATGTTATAAATATACTTATGCATATTGTACTATTATTAATTATATTATTGTAATTATTATTATTGCTAATTATTTAAATGCTTAACCTAATTTTATTAAAATAAATCATATTTAGTTTGTATTAAAAAAAAAAAAAAAAACAAGAACTAAAAACTAAAAAAAAAAAAAAAAATTAGTACTCCTACTTCCAACTGTAACTCACAATTAACGACAAGATCAACAAACGAAAAACAGAAGTCAAGCAAATCGTAATTAAATAAAATGTATTTATAATAGAGTAATATTATCCGATCGGAGAAAGCGACATTTGCGTACAATCGTATATGTATATGAAGACAGATAAGTAACTAGCAGTAGCTCGGATCTGATAAATTGTCGCTATATATTAAGGAATTGGTTTTGTAGTATGGAATTATTTATTTAATTAGTTATTTTTACTATTGTTTTATCTCTTGCTGTAATTGTAAATGTCTGGCATAGTATGCTTTTCTGTAAAACAAACACAAAAACAAAAATGCCTATAATATACAAATTACTCTACAAATAATTGAAAACAAAAACAAAAACCAGAGTTACCCATTAATAAACACATACACTCAAAAATAATTTACTCAATGTTATAATAAATGTGATTTAAGAATGCAAACATGGTACTACCTACAAAATTTTAAATGTTACAATGAAACAGGTAGTGAAAGCCCAAAACGCGCATTAGCCCGTGTCTTCAGAGAAAAATTTAAGGAATAATTAAAAGAGTTAAAGTAGTACAAGAGCAATCTAAAAATTCATCATAAGCTATTAAATATATCTAATAACATAAATGTAATTTCAACTCAATAACTGCTTATCTAATTACCTGACGTCGAATCTTTTCATTTAACGTAAACATAAAACGAATATCGTTTAAAGACTTTCGGGAGAACTGAACCCAATCGCAGACAAAAGCTATTCTTAATTGTGGATAGTAAACAATACATCTAAGAAAGACTTCTGATAAATCAAATATAAAACAGTCTTGTTGTGTGAATGTACAAACTTTGTGTTTATCTGGACTTTTTAATTTGACATATGAACTCGCGTAGTCTTTGAATTATTATTATCATTTATAGTCATTATCACAAGCAAGCAATCGATTGGGATAGAAGCGCAGCCCCTCCACGGACTCATCCCGACAAACTTTCCCCAGTCTCTCTGCCACCAGCAGTCGCTCCTTAGCCAACAATAGCGATATGTTCAGCTGCTTAGCTAGCTCCTCCACTGCCAAGGATTCCGCAGAGCGCACTTTTTCTAATGTGTCAATAGAAATAAGCTCATCATCATGAGATTCGAGCTGTAGAACCATGGCGCCACTGGGGAATCGACGTAGCTTAAGGGGTCCACTAAGGCGTTCGCATGCATGCAGCAAGTCCTCGGGTGAAAGAAGTTCCAGACCACGAGCGCGATTTACACGACAATATACGTCAGCCAAGGACATCATGCCTCCATGTTCCTAACAAAAACATATACAACATACAGTAAACCACGACTCGAATAAATTGTGAGTTACACTCACTTCGATTGGATCGAGTAGCATTTCGCATATTTGCTGAGCAAGACTATTAAAGTACGCCGTATTGCTGGTAAAATTGTCGCGTGTCACAGGATCATCTATGCCCAAGCTGAGCAGATAGGATTTGAATCGAACTGTTTCATCCTCGGATATTTCACCTCTTTGCTCACGTATTTTGCTGCTTATATTTTTGGATAGGCCTACCATATCCTTTGCCATAGCCATAAGAACACTTAGATCCTGGAATGCAAGGGCTATGTTCTCGTCCGTTTCCTTGGCTTTCGCTTCTAGGTGCCGCTCTATTCCACCTATTCCCGTGCGTTTTTGAATTCTAGATAATTTATCGCCTACACTTAACTTCGACTCTGCTCCTTTCACAATGGTCTCACTCGTCAACGCGATGGCCCAGACGCGCGCATTTAAAGTCTCTCGTAGCGCGGTGTGAAACTCCACGCTTAGTCCATTTTTACCTGAGAGTTTTATGTGGGTAGCCCGACTTGTGTCCATTGGGCCAGGAGGTTTATTTACGCTGGGCGGATGCAAGTGCAGTATTATCCGTGTTTTGCGTCCAAAAAAATTTGAGGCTGTTGTTTCCTCACTGAGAGAGATAACATAGCTAAGTGGCAGACAAAGAGTTATGGCTGCGCGAGCTATTTCTCCAGGACGGCCCCAAAATAATCTATGAGTCGTAAGCACCACTTCCCCATCTTCAAATTCCGTCTGAAAAAGAGGCGCAGCCGTAGCCAAATAAAGTAAATGCAACATTTACTAGATGATTAGATCTACCTTTTGTTCTCCATCATAGATTTTTACGTTGCGATCGCGACTTACGAACGACTCGCTTTCTGTTAAACGAGCCTCTTCATATACAAACCGATTCATTGCTGCTAGTTCTATCAAATAAATATTTTTACATTTGTTTTGGCTCTTGTTAGAACTAGATATGTGACCCTAGATGGCACCGTTACGATATATTGATATATATCGAACTGCAAAAAATATACCACAAATCATGAAATTGTGAGCTGATGCCACAAAAAAAATACCATTTTAAGTATTGTCAATTCTTAACTTCCATGCGAGTAATGATTTAAATAATTATTGTATTACGAGCATTTCTTAATAAAAGGATAAATTCATAAATAATATACAAACTATTTTCATATAAATGTAATTAACGTTGCTTATTTCTTTATCCGTCACGTCTGGCCACGACTATCGATAGCTCAGCATATCGATAGGACCAATTTTACTATGAGCATGTGCCTCCAATAGCAAGACAATAGCAATTTGTTGCTTTTTCTGTTTTAGTTTTTTTTTTTTTGCGGTGTTATTACTATTATTAATACATAATAGAGACTAAAAACTTCCGAAATGCCATATTCCAATTGACGGTGCTTATGTAATAAAGCACGAACACAGGAAATAAGCTTATATGCACATCGATCACCGCGTATGGATTACTGTCAAAGCTCTTCGCACAAATATTTGTATGTATCATGACGACAGCGACAGCAACAGAGGCGAGTAAAATGCTTGAGGCAGCATTGCAACAGATGGATGGCATAATATCCAATTCGGCGACTGCAGCAGTCAGTAGTCAGTCGCAGACTCAGCCAGGAACTGCAACTACGGCTTCGTTGACAAGTTTCTGTGAGCGTAATTTAATTTCGGCAACCAATGTCTTATCAACAGCTAAGACCCTGGCTTTGGCCCTGCAACAGGTGAGTAAAAAGCTATTTAAATAATACAAGCTGTATGTGAGTTAGTATCGCTTTTGTAGGTTGGTTTAGCAGCGCCAGCTCCAGATCCAGTTACTGCAGCAATCATAAGCGATTGGCTGGAAACGCATATACCGCGCCAAGACTCAGATGAACGAATGCGTAGATTGCAGCGCGACAAGGAAGGATTGGCTCTACAATACCAAATGCTGGCGGAACGCGTGTCCGAGCAAGCGGACAGAATCATTGAATTGGAAGGGCTTCTAACGGAGAAATCGCAGCAGCTTTGCAGCAAAGAAGAGCAACTGCAGCGCCAAGTGATTTCACAATCGGCTTTAGAAACTCAGCAGCTTGAATTGATGAGTGCTTTAAGCGAGTTGAAACTGCATCGTACGGCACTTGAGTGCGAAAACGAACTGAATGCCACAAATTGCAATATGCCCTATGGCAGCATGGGTAATCTAAACCAGAAAACCACTCCAGATGGTCGTTTAGCTCCCAAAACTCCGCCAACAGCCATCAGGCATCAGATTAAGCCACAATTTCACAGCTTGCCACGATCACATGGTGGTGCCACAAAGCAGGTGCAGCACTTGCAGTCAAGCACCAAGGTTAACAATAACCAAACCCTTGATGTGAATGCCAACAGCAGTGGGAAACAACGAAATGTGGCGTTTGCCTCTAACGAACAAATTCTTATTGACGACAGTTTGTTGAGTGATAGTTTTAGCCCAACTGATGACGCAATGTCTATGTATTCAAGTTTTCGATCCCAAACGCAATCCACACCCTCGCCAAAGTTACGCGAGCGCTCTGCGCGTGGATTGCGCAGCATATTAGGCAAATTGCGGCGTAGTAATAGCAGCAACTGTGAACTGACTGCTTTGGAACAGGCCGAGCCAGATGAATTTCGTCGAGGTGGCTCGCGTGCAACTGCAGGCGGCCGCATTGAATGGAGTGCCCAGACTCCATTGTTCACCGATGCTGAAAAACATTACAGCAGCTGGAATGCCCAGGAAGTTTGCAATTGGTTGGCGCACATGGGTCTTGGATGTTACCAGGACAACTGTAGGTGAGTGTGGATCGTATATATCATCGTTGATAATTATAATAATCGCCAAGTATTATATATTATATAATTAAAAAATTAACATTCAAACTGAGCTGAAGAAGTTTTATGTCTTTAGACATTAACTATTAATATCTCTGAAGAATAGATCGATAAATTACTAAAATTTCCCTAAAAACAAAATTGAGCTTAACTTTCCGTTTTCCATGATTGTTCTGTTACCAGAAAATGGCTGAAGAATGATCCGTCGGTTTGTTTCTTCACCGCATCACCGGCCGATATCGAACGTGAACTTAATTTGAAATCCGTTCTGCATCGGAAGAAAATCTTGTTGGCCATTGATGACATAACAAAGAGGGAGTTTGATGAGCTGACAATAAAGGCTGCGAAATTGGATGTGGGCTGGGTGCTGCGCTGGTTGGATGACATTGGTTTGCCTCAGTACAAGGATCACTTTTTGCAAGCAAAGGTAGATGGGCGCATGCTTCATCGCTTAACGCTCGAGGATCTTTCCCAATTGCATGTGAGCTCATGCCTACATATTGCTTCATTGCGATGCGGTATTTTGTGCATGCGCCGCTTGCGCTGGGACCCTGAAGGTCTGATTCGACGCTCCACCAGGATTGTTGAACAGAGCGACGAATCCAATAGTCCAGAAAAGGAGAGTGTTGATTTGTGGACCGCCCACCGAGTAATGGAATGGCTAAAAACCATAGATTTGTCTGAGTATGCTCCAAATCTACGCGGAGCTGGTGTCCACGGAGCACTGATGCTTTATGAGGAAAGATTCAACGCCGACTTATTAGCTGATTTACTGTCGATTCCGCCAAGTAAATCTCTTCTACGACGCCACTTGGCAATGCATTTTAAGGAGTTGGTTGGACGTACCATAATACATTGCAAACGCGATGCCGAAGCTGCACCCGGCTATCTACCGCTGACGATTACGGCCAAATTGAAGCCACCAAAGCGCTCCCAGTTTACACTGAAACGTCGCAAGAGCGCAAAGGGACAAGCTGAGGTCGATTGGACAGATTTAGTATGCCCGATGAACCTGGTTGTCCCTACCATGTCCCTCAACGCAGAGGCGAGCAAAGACCACGATGGCTCTTTGAGCTCTAATTAATCGAAACCTATGAGCATAGCAAGAAGTATGCTTACGAGTAACGTATTCTTAACTTAGTTTTAAAACTGACCCTGAAACGGATCAACTTTCGATCTAACGAAAATGAAATGCACACAGTTGCACGAAATGAATTGTATTCACAAGAATTTAACGTAGAGAGCGATTTAGTCGACCTCTAAGCAATTTATGGTACCATTACCAAATGACCAAACAATAACGTATTAACAAAGCAGGCTGCTATATGCACAACTATACTAATACATACCTATTTTGAATTTCGCACTTTTTTGTACGGGGACTACAAACAAGCATTGACGTCTTCCAAAAAATGAAGTATTTAAATCATCATACATATTATTGACCTGGAAAGCAATCCGAAAGTCTGGCATAACGGAGAATATCCGAGTTTATTTTTACTAACACTATTTTGTATGTTATTAGCTCCATAATTAAAGTATAAAACGCATTTTTACAGAACCACACGTTTTTGATTCTCTGGGAACGACTTACAGCTGATACTTCGATTGACTCCATTCAATTTTACAAATTGTGATCTTGCTAGAATTTTACTTTATTGTTAACAATAACATTGCTTAAATTGCTGAACGACTTGACGCGTGGCATTTAATTAGAGGTTAGCCAGCTTGGACGGAATCAACATTGTAGTAGATAATGGCTGTCTAGCGAGATCATCTTTCTCGACAGCTGTTTCTTAAATCTATCAATCTTTGGCAGTGTATTCAGAGTCGTAGTAACTTCTGTAAAGCTTGTGCGGGACCCACTATGTGACTTGCTTTGCTGTAGTCTGCATTGTGGCCAAATTATCTACACCTAGGCCAATTTGCCCGACTAGTATATTCTCGAGAACGTTGTGCTGATCGCGAGCAACAACATCCTTACCATGGTGATGCTTGCAAATATCACTCTCCGGTATATGGTCCTTCCAGTTGCGGAAAAGGTAACGCGTAAACTTCTTCAGCTGTCTGAATTTGCAATACGTGGCACCTTCTGCCGATTGCAGTTGTTGAGTTTGTATCAGAAATCCTTTTTCCTTAAATGTCTTTTCAAGTTTTTCGCGCTGCTTGGAGCGGCGCGACGAACGGCTCCTCTTTGCTGCTGACGTTGTCACCTGCCTTGGGCTCGCAAGTGATCTGTTTAGCTGCTCAGGGGGTTCCATTTGTTTATTGCAATCCTCGGGTTGGAGCGCTGCGTGTTGCATGGGACTATGGGAGCTGGAGTAGTTGGAGGGACTTTGCGAGGCGACTGGCACTAGGCTGCTCGGCAAGAAAATAGACGACGTTGGCGATTCTGGTGGTATGTGCAGCAGTTCCAGGCTGAGATCCGTGGAGGGCGGGGGTATATCAATATATAGTTTATCATTGCTGGTGCTGGATGAAGCGGATGTCTGGTACTGCTGTTGCTGTTGTTGTTGTTGCTCTCGTGATATGAACTCATAGCCCCGCAGGTTTCTGTCGCCGGTGCCATTGTAATAGCGATAGTTCCCTTCGGCATCCACCGACAGCATCTTCTTCTCCTCCAGCATAGGCTTAGCCCCACCCGTAAACTTAAACTTGCAAATGCTGACCTCGGTAGAGGGGCTGCCGCTGTGCTCGGCCGGTATGGGGGGGATAAAAATCGCCGATCGCTTACGTTTCCGCATAACAGGTGGCGTTACGGTGTCCATCGACAGTTCCAGCGGCTCTCGCTTGTTGGGTGAGGTGGTGATGGTGGTTATGGTGTCAAAGAACCCACTAGGTATTGGAATTTTCAATGATAGTTGATTGTCTTTTTCAATGGTCTCCACTTGTACGCCCAAGTGGCAGTTGCCCATGAATTTTTGATGGATTAACCCCACAGGCTGTAGCAACAGTTTCTCAGACACACTGAGCTCATTCTCCCTAGCAAATTTAATTGAAATAGGATTCATTGAACCTGTTGCATTTGGTAAGGGTGTTGCACGATGTGAGTAGCTTCCACACTCCGTAGTCGATGTGGCTGCATTTGTCACTGTCGACGGTTTATCGCTGTCACCGCTTGAGATTGAGTAACGATCACTGGATTGATCCCGAAGACAGAGATTCAGTGGTTCCTCTAGTGGAACGGCAGCTGCAGATGGGCTGGGCCCAACACGATGTGGGAGTATTGACGCATTTCCACCGGTTGGAAGCTTAGACTCAAGCAGTGGACCGTGCTGAGCGGACGTGGCCGGAACGTTGGTTGGGACGATGGTGCCATAATTTTTGTAGATCAAATGACAGATATCCGCCTTCTTTGGCTTGCGGCCTCGTCGGGGCTTGTAGTTATCCAAGGTGATCTCGCCCATGTAAGGCAAGTCAGCGTATTTGATGGCACCGCGCTTTGGGCTGGACACCTCAACCACGGACTGTAGCGGCTGAGTTGCGACAACCCGTATTGACTCCGATGGATGCTCTGATCGAAGGTCCTTGCACACTTCCTGTTCCTGTTGCTGCCGTTCCGCACTCCGCTGAATTTCGGCTATCTTCTTCAGCCAACTGCGTACATTCTCGTGCGACTGGCTCTGTGGCGGATGTGTGACTTTTACGGCGGGAGCTGCAGATGGAGCCGTTCGGGTGCTGGACAAATGGCGTCTCTGCGTTGCCTCATAGTGGGCAGCGTATTCTGCCGGCAAGGCCTGGTGGTGGAAGCGCAATTTGACCGCACCTGCATTAGATGTGGGGCGTTTCTTTGATTTACCCTGTCGGGGGGCTCTTTGCGTAGCCACGGCTACCTCCTGCACCGGGATGGGTCTGTGGGATTTTCTAGAATTCATCAGATTAGCCTTGAGCTGTTGCTTTGTGAGCGTGCTGCATGTGCCATGCTGCATTGTTTGCTGCTCCTCCGTTCTGCGAGCTAGCAGCGTCTTGAATGGGTAGTCCTGATCTTCATCGTGTGGATCATTGCTGGCTCCGTGCGAGATCAATGGATCATCGGATCCCTGTAGCAGCAGCTTATTGGTATTCAATGTATCCAGGCGCATGTGATCAGTCACTGACATGTGCTGCCAGGCTTCCGCTTCGACGATCTGACCTCCATCCGGGTCTAGCTTAATGCATGGCAGTATTGTAGCAATCATGCCGTTTGCCGGCACCTGAGGCAACTTGTGCGATCTTGTTGCGCTGTTGCACATTTGTGATTTGTTGTTTTTCATGCTGCTGTTGTAGTCACAAGCTTCATAGGCCATGACCTTCTCCCGCGTCAGATCCTCCATGTTACGCTCTGCAATGAAATAATTAAGACATGTTACATTCTGCCATCCCAATATGGTATAATTCTAACTATGTTTTATTGAGACACACACACTTTTCACGTCTCACATTTTTCACACGCCGGTCATCGTCATCGTCCGATCGTATCCGTATCCGTCTCTATCGGCGATGGTGGTGGCAGCACGGGAATTCTATTTAAATGCTCTGCGAACTGGCAAGTGGCGCTGTATCTCACACACACACACACACACACACACTCACGCACAGACATACATGAACATGCTTTTTTGAGAGAACGCTGAAATTTGTTTTTGTACATGAAATTCGATTCCCTAGACGAAAGTCTATGACCATAAAAGGCTTAAATGCAGGCAAACACCGAATCGTGTGCCAATGGTCATGTCCGACGGACGGTTTGAGTATTGACAATATCACTTTAGTCATAAGAATGACGGTGCTCACATTTTGCAATTATTCTGTATAATTATACCTTTCTCCTTTTATCGTTAGTGCTAGACTAGTTTATCATTGAGTCAGGCAGACTGATTGCTGGATTGAGTATTGAGTGGGACTCCTAAATGAGGAGTAGCCAAAGATTCACACGTTCTCTATCGCACTGGACTGGTTTGCTGCATCGCCATCGCGCGCGTGTACCTCGTGTTGACATCCAAAACTCAACTAGTTGCGGGAAAGTCACGAAAGGCATCATTTTGAAAATATGCTCCTTAGATGGACCGTAGCCGGAGACGCAGGCGCAGACGGAGGCAGAGGTGGAGGCAGAGGCAGAAGTAGGAGAGAGCAAACACGCCCCGCCACACAATAGACGAAGAATATAACGCTGAGCAGGCCAAATGAAAATCAAATTAAATTCTTCTGTTTCGCTCTTTTTTGTATTTATCATTCGTGGCTGCGGTGCGTTGTCGTGCCCGTCTGTATTTAACGCCAAACACGAAGATATTTCGTGTATTCATTTTTAGAAAAATCCAACTTGTTGCCGCGATGCTCGTTTCGCGTTGCTCTGCGGTCATAGAGCAGCCAAACGCGATAATAACACGCCGGACAAACCGAATTAGATTTCGTAAAATTTTAGTTCTGACTTCATTTCAAATTTCATTCATGAACTATTGGTTTTTGTTTACGGATTTAGAGAAACAGCTTGCATGTATTATCAGAAAGTAAAGAACTGCATCAGTTACAGCTATTTTGCAACGTAGTTGAGCTAAATATAGCTCAGTATGCTTACCTCTTAAAGGGTATCACATATTCGATCAATTTTCACATTTCATACTAGCAGCTGCAGTATTCAAGGTGTGTGCGAGCAGCGTCCCAAAGTTCTTGATTCTTCGCATAGGTATTCGCTCAGTTGATATCGCGATTATTTATAGACCTATGCGAGACTTCAAGTTAGGGCATCTGTATTTTGCCTTGCTTCTAGCGTAGGTGTATTAGTGTATGTGGCGGCTTATTATTTTCCGAAAAGGAAAAATGCCCTCAAAATATATGTCTCTGTTCGTTTATTTCGGGATGTATGTCTATATGTATATTTCTACATCTATATATGTATTTATAAACATCCACTCTTATGGCTCTAGATATATGCGTGTTTTACTGTGTGTGAGAATATGGGTCATAGTGGTCTCGTTTGATACGAAATTTAGAATCGTATACTTGATATTGGATCACAATTTAAAATTGATAATAAGTATTTGTATAAACTAAACTTTAAGAGTGTATAAATTTCTTAGAATTTACTTATATGAATATATCTTCTCTTATCCTTCTTACTTATACTATATTTTTAATAGGTGTTGAAATTATTTACATTTTTACTAAAGGTCTAAACAATTTGTCTCCTTGGAAAAATCTGAAAATGGGCTCCCCTCCTTTTATGGTATATGTTTATCTATCTTCAAGTGCTACTGACTTACATTAGGACGGAAGAATTGATAGATGGGTCGAGCACATTGTTTATAGCATATCTCTTGAGTGAATGAAAAACAATTTCAAATTATAAAAAAAATTAAGTCATAATATATGCAAATAGGCCAAATAAAAGTTTACTCCCTTTATATGCAAGATTTGATATGAAATTTAAATTTATTTGGCTTGTGAATAGGAAGTATCTGTGTACTCTATTATTCGACATGATAAATATGAAACAAATTGAAGACTTTTTGCTTAAATTTTTACTATTTAAATTGTAAAATTGTGTGATTCTGACTTGCCATATCAGCATATACAATATTACATTTGTTATTAATCCATTATTAATGATATAGGTGAATAATTGTTTAATTTCTAGCGAAGCTCAGGAGTGGCGATGCAGCTTTACACATATTCGCTATTACAAATTGCATAATTTGTAAGTAATACCTTAAAAGACGAAGCTTCACTGAAATATAAATTACAAGTTAAAACTTGTAAAATGGCTTGTAGCTCATTGAACGGAGGCATAGACGCACATAACGGAAAACCAATACACTCATCACACTTACTGAACGAGCATTATTAATTGGCTCGAACCGATCTAGCGCTCTCCGGATATGCTTTCGGAACTGGAGCTATATGTAGGTTGGATTTAATATTTTACATGTAGCATAAAACTCCATTAAATCGATTAATAAATTATTATTGTTGTCGTATTACTCCTTGAATTTCACATTATTTAGTTTAAAGTTCAATTGCAAATATTACCGTCGTATTAATGGAATTATATTGAAAATGGGAAATCAGGGTACAATGGTTTTGTTAAAATGCCAGAAGGAGGCGTGGCAGACCCCACAAAGTATATATATTCTTGATCAGGGCGACGAGCTGAGTCGATTTGGCCCTGTCCGTCTGTCTGTCCGTCCGTCCGTCTGTATGTTTGAAGGCGTCGATCTCGGACGATATAAGAGCTAGCGACTTGAAATTTTTAAGTACATTATTAAAACTGTATCTTCTATATCTTTAAAGCGAGAGTCGCCAAATTTTAAATGTTAATTTATATGATTTATATAACATTTCGATTTTTATTATAATTTACCCCCACCCCTATATCCACCCCTATATCCTCCCCTAAAATTGTAAAAGGCGTATTTCAATGCTAGAGACTTGTGCGTTGGCAAATGCACACATTTCAATGTTATAATCACGATCTGAAGACAGCCCATAGACACGAAAAGGTTTTAAACAATTAAGTTCCCATAGTAAGCCCACACTGCAGCCCGTGCGTATCTGTGCGTGCATCCGTATGTGTGTGTTTCTTGTGTAAGCAGAAAGACGCGAAGAATTATTGATATATTAGTTCTCCGAAGGAATCAGGGGATTTCCTAGTCGAGCTGTCTCGACTAGAGCTTTCGTATTTGTTTAATGTATAACATTACAATATACATACAGAATTGATTGAACAATGTTCTTTAAATTGAGTTGTGTTTGTTTTTAAGTTGTCAAATTATCGTAAGAATTGTCGTCAATAGAATAAATTTCCTCTAAGAATTGGGAACAGACACATTCAAATGAGTGCATTTTTTTTCGAATTCCGTTTATAAAGTCGCAATTAAAATTGAGTTATCACTTTTCTCACGTGCTCGTACAGGAGGTATACAATAAACTTAATCCAATCAGTCGTTTTATATTTATCACTGTATTGGTTGTAGGAGTGATGATTGCCATAAAGCAAACAAAATCTTAAATTGTGGGTATTGCACAGGCAATGTCTAGACAATGATGCAGTTTATTCGAGCTTGTTCGCCTGCACTTTTAGGTGAATAAAGTAGAAAAGTCTATGATTGACAGTGGGTGGGCGAGTTTACAAAATATGCTGTCATTTGGTACGTATGTATGTACGTATGCACATAGTTGACTACTCGAACCAGCTAACCAGATACTATTTACATTTTCGGATTTGGATGGCAGTGGTGCTTACATCACCATCGGCAGTACTCGGCGAGTGGCTTTGCAGTCCGTAGGTTGGTCAGAACATTGGCGGAGTGTATGTATTGCACATCTATCTGGCTCTGCGACTGCCACAGTTTCTGATAATATTTTTATAAATGGCATTCAACACCATTCATTTATTTCATTTTGGTTTTTGTTGTGCTTTTATTCAATACCTGCTGGCGGGTACGTACATATTTGTATTTATGGCCATAACTGCCACTTTGGCCGCCTACGCGCTGCCTCGCTCGCTCGAAGTACAACAACAATGCCACAGAACGGAAAGAGCCTCAGCGGGCAGAGGAGAGCGGCATATGCATGACAGCATGATACGCATGTAGCACAGGAGCTTTCTCATCAATAGCTTATACTGTGCACAATTCGCTTCAGGGGGTGCACTTCGCTCAACATCTAATTGATAATACATATATTAAAATTCTCTTCACGCACAATGCAAAACTCTCATCACTAACAAATCAAAAATTACGCGCACTACCGTTGATCCGTTCGCGGTGGCGGCATTGCGACTGCGCTTGCAAGACATTTAACGGACGCAAATTCGCATGCGCACAGCAGCTGATTCTGACTGACAGAGCTGCCAGACTAGCAGGATTCGCAATTAACTATTTGCATATTTTTTGAATTCATTAACAATATGCCATTTCACGAAATATAGTTTGACAGCAGTTGTGTGATAATCGTATTTCACAGATGTCAAAATTCGGATGCTAGTATTAAAAATAAGTGTGTTTACGCTTATAATATGTAATATGTTTATATTTAACTGTTTAATGTGGAAAGAATAAAATTAATCGAATAGAGCAATTGTTAGCTGCTTCTTTCACACGCTCTACAGTTTTGCACGCACTGTAAGCTTGAAATTAATATTAAGCAAGCAGTGCACTCGTTAAACAAGCAGTTCATTTGCCCGCAAAATGCAAAAACTTTAAATATAAGACAGAATAAATGACAAAAAAAATCTTATTAATAATAAAATTAGTTTGCTATGTATTTATTGTTTAGGCATATTTATTTGAGTCCGTCGATATTCTTCATATGGGTATTTCTCTAGAAAGGTCAACCGCAGCCAAAACATTCAAAGTCAATGAGGGCATGTTTTGCTAACATATTTTTTTAGAACTAATCTTTCAAATTTTACTAATATAAACCAATTATACATTTTAACATAATACATCTCGAAATATTGAGACATAAAGCCGAATAAGTGCAATAGTTCTGTTTTGAGCATTTCTATTGCACAGCCTGTTCTTATTATAGAAACACTATGCAATGAAATATGATACCTCGGATTTTCTCCATTTTATTATAATCAATACATTAAATATATTGAAAATCATTTTTAATGCTTTTACTCATGTAAAATTACTAAAAACTAAAAAAAAAAAAAATAAAATAAAATAAAAAAAAGTATGGTGGCAAAAATGTCTCATTCGACACGTCATCTTCGACCCTGATTAAAACTAAAAAATAATAAGAACTACTCAATATTTTTGAATAAAATAAAAAACATTGTATAGATGTGCCAATTTCTAATAATTTAAAATTATTCGTAATAAATTATCACTTAAGGTTTCGTTAAAATCTCAGGTTGAACTGTTCATTTAAAAAGCGACTTACGTTTCTTGTACCCTGCGAACCTCTTGGTTTTTTTGTGATTATCTTGAAAACTAGCATTTGCCTAAAATCAGATTTAGCACCAACTATAGAGCTAATCAAGAGCTAAACTATTCACTATTCGTCAAAATAAAAAAATTTTTGGCATTCTTTTTTTTTAACTCAAAAACGTACGAATGTCACATTCGCCACTAGAGAATTGCCCATATATCTGAAAATATTCGATTCTTATGACACTTACGTTAACTTACAACAATATTTTGGCAAATTCCTAACAAAAAACTTTTTTTTAATTTGTGTGTGTTGTGTATTTATTCACTCAATAATTAATAAATTAATTGTTCACATCAATTTTTGTTCACATCAATATGCGAATAACTGTTATATTTTAGGATATTTTGGTTTATTTTTCAGAAGAGCAAGATAGTAAACTCTTGTGTAAACTGTTTCCATTGTTTCCATCAAATTTATTTCACAATCTCTGTTATATAATTATATATGTGTGAATTTGTTCGTTTTTATGATATAAATACAATATTAGGTAAGTCGGAGGTATTTCAGTTTATGAGTATACAATATATATTGAATAATTTGATCATACGGATTTAATGTATATTTATGTATAGGTATATAAGCATATGTAAAATAATAATTTACATTGGAAGATTGAGAAACTAAACATTTGATTTACAAATACATATTTAAAATGACATTAGAAAAGTATTAGGTTACAATATTTTATATGTATACATATATGTATATTTATTTATATAGTTTAGGATGCACATTTTCTCCAAGTCTTTTAAATATAAATTAATTTTCGGTTTTATCAATAGCAGTTGCAGTAAGATAATAAGTGATGCATATATCATATATTTATA